CACCGTGAATAAATACTAAATTAAAAGCAATATTTCATTCACTGAAAGAGTACTTTTAAATTGGTTCAAACTCGTATAAATATGAATTTGAGTAATTGATCATATAGTTACATATAACTATTTTTTTTAATTAATTACATATAATTACACGTAATTTTAACCTAAACTTTGACGTAATTTAACGTACATGTAACATTATTCAATTATACGTTATTTTAACATAACGTGTCGTCTCTTTTGTATAAACATGACTCTCTGATATTATGGTATTGACTGCTAGTTATTAAATCGGAGAAAATTCAATTCAAAATTCCTAATGATTTATAGAAAAATGGTCGAAAAGTCTCTCATCTCTGCTGGAATCGAACGCGCTAAGCTAACAGTGCGACCAGAGAATTTTCGTCCTTTTTCTACAAGTTTTAATGTTCCACCTTAGGTGAGGAGATAAGCACTGTAAAAATCAAATTTCCCAATGATTTGCATAGAACTTTGATATTGCGAATAGCAGAAAGTTTATAATAATAGCGTATTAAACGACACAACGTATCTTTGTTCGGATTAATATAGCCCGATTAAATTTTCGGCGGCACCGGATAAGATTGTGGCGGGAACGTGTTGTTAAATCTTGAGCTTCCACTGATAACGTGTCGTAGTGGCGCCTTATCGCACGTTACGTTAACACGATTATTTTGTTTTATCACTAAATTGGGAACGTTGTACAAGGCGTTAGTGCTTCGTGAATTGTTTCGTCGCTATAGTTTGGGGTCCGGTGCCCGGTGAGGCGTTGGCTGCGATTCTACCGACTGTATCGTGAAACTTTTTGGAGATAAGATTTAGACATAAGATTTAGGAGTTTAGAGGCTTATAGAAACGGGAAACTTGGCCGAATGACACATTTTTCGGCTCACAAGTTTGTTCAGGTTATGGTGACTGACACTAGTAACAATTGCCTCGTCAAGTTGTATAGTGTGCTTGTGTTTTATTTATTTATTTATTTTTTCAAGGAAAACAAAAAGCTATATAATAAACTAAAAAAATAAAAAATACAGTTTAAATCTCTAAGCCAGTAAAGTTTCCACCAAAAGTAAATTCATTGTAATCAATAAATGAATACATTACAATAAAACTAATTATTACAAAAGCTCTGAAGAACATTTGATCTAAAACTTAGGTAGTTTACTTAAATGAAATATGATTAAAATTATTGTTAAAACTTTGACAAACACGGTTATTAAAAAGTATTAGAAACATTTAGTTTTAGTCATGGATACATGAAAAAGTTTCTTGGGCATGGGGTCTGTTACACATATAATTTAATTAATGTGAACAAGAAGAGTCTATCTAGATTTGCAAGCGTTAATAGAATCGGCCATTCTAGTCTCATTACATGACTCTCCCTCAACGATTTACTTATCATGTATAATTGATTAACTGATATTTAGTTAATCCACATAACATTTAAAACATACTACTTAATGATCCACAACGGAAAGAATTACAAACTATTAACTAGAACTTTCTTCCCCGTGAGCGTGTGTCTGTTAAAATTGACCGTGCTTAATTCGAATAAAATCTGCATCGACGAGAATCTATATTGTATTTCTTTAGCTGGATATTCTAACCACTGAGCTATGAGGCGATCAAACACTGTTGTCAATAAACGAAAATAAACAATGGGCGCGATTGACGTAGGCGATTAGATAGTGGCGCGTATTTCCCAAGACGGCACTCTCGACGTTCAAATCGGCGACTATCTGATATCAGTTAATGATTTCTTATATTTATGTACGCACCCGTGAATATCACAATTCGTATAAGACTATTTTCGACTCGCTGGGAATGATTACGATTGATTGCAGCACATAAATACTTTAGTATAATTCAATATTATAATCATATCATTTTAACAATAGGGAGTTGTATTTTGAACCACGAAAGTCGATAAATGCAAATTAATTGCGTCGTTTTATTGTTCTTCCTAACAAAGCAACATTGTTTTCTTGTTACCATGACAAATTAATGATTTTTTAAAGTGAAAACTTGTATCGTCAAGTGACCAAGCAGTTGTGAAGACCGCCACCCGTGGATATCTGCAACACCCGAGGGATTACGGATGCGTTAACAGCCTTTAAGAAAGTGGGCTCCATTTACCTCTACCGAGGTTCAGGCCAGGCCACCTCAAGTCCGTCGGATTTGTAAAGGCCCCTCGAAAGGTCCATCAAAAGAATAATAGCTGGACGTTTAAGCTTTTATATATAAAATCGAATTCGAAATTGTTGTTTAGGGATATCATGCACGACTCTACTGTGACTCTATGACGACTCTATACTCCCCGTGGTTTATCCAACAAACGATTCAAACGGGATCTATTAAAACAAACGCCAAGCTCTGTATCTCATACCACCCAATTAGTGCCTGCCAATTAGTGATTATTCAGACAAAGTGCAAGCGAACACACACACTCTCGCATAGAAAAACGACGCCCAGCTACTGTGGCCGCCGAGATAAGGATGATAAATTACACGCGCTCCAAGGAAATGTAGACCAACCCGCATGTCAATATCACACCATGTGAAGCATTAATAACGACGACACTTATTGAAGAGACGGTGATGGTGCAAGATCTGATGCTTAATATTCGCCTTAAGACATCCCCAGCATGAAAGGTGGTGTGAAAGAAAGTGGTGACTCCGTGGCGCAGTTGCCAAGTTGGCTTGGACTGGAGGTCGTGTGTTCGATTACCATACGGGACAACTATTCGTTTGACCTACTTGATAATTGTTTCAGATCTGCGTGCTTGTCCTCGTGAAATAAAGCATCCCAATAAAACAGATTAATGTTAGCTAGCCTACAGTAAGGCAATGTTTAAAAAACAACAAAAAAAAAAGCATTGCAAAGCTTTATGCTATGCAAAAGTGGGCTTTTTTTCATATCGAAAGTATTACAACAACCTTTTTTCTTGGAGACCGGTTTTCAGTAGTTGTAGACGACGAATTATGCTATTGTACACTTAGCACCAGTTGCGAGGCCGATTCCATTAATATCTGAATTGCTTTCGTTTGAACATTAAATGAATTGCTTTCGTTTGAACATTAAATGCATTGCTTCAAATGCTAAATAACAATGTAGAAAGAAGGCGTTAAGATTTTCGTCGCTGTGGCTATCAGCCGTTTAGCTCAGTGGCTAAAGCGTCAGGCCGCGAATACCGAAGACGTGGATTCGATTCCCACAGAGGCGACAATCTTTTCGTACTTTTTCTATGTTTTAATGTTCAATCTTAAGTGCAGAGATTAGCACTATAAAAAACTTTAAAATTTGCTTTTGTTTGGTTGTTTTTGACTGCGAAATAAGATTAGGATAATCTTTAGCGTCAGATAATATAATTTTAATTTAATTTTGCACGTTTCTATTATTCTATTATTAAGTCTTTCCCATGTAGCCGCTTTCTAAGTACTTCAAACACTGTTAAATATAATAAATAAAGGATCCATATTCATTCAACTAATGTTTTTAAGGTTAGCATTAAACAGTTTCTTTATTTTGGCCTCAATAGAATGGGATAAATCTTGGATAGTTAGGATTGATTGAATGTAAGAATGAACACAGTACCTGATATACATTTTATCTAAAAAAATCGTCCTCACGTACATCCATCCGTCCTACTCTATAACGTGAAAGTCAGTTTTATTCATATAAGTAATATTTATAATAGAGCCTATACTAAAATACATAATCTCATCATATCTTTATTTCAACATTGTCACAAATACGTACCGTATACTACAAATTTAACTATAATTGGACAAATACTATAAATCGAAAGTGTCCTCTTTAACACCGCTGCATTAAAATTCTTTGTACACGCATTAATTATACCTGTAGAGAGACGTAAAAAAAAATATCAAACACGAAACGTCAACGCCGTAATCACAGCGCTCTTGCATTAACCTCACTCATACGCAAACAACAAATCCCGACCGTATCGGGGTAACATTATAAAATGGCAGTGTCACCGAAAAATAATATTTCGGAACGGGTGAAAAAGGACGTCCACGGGTGATGCCCGTCAAAAGCCACTGCGGTGAACCCCCGTGCGATTTAGATTTTTAAGCTCGGAACGGTAGAGTCGAAAATCGACTAACTCTCCGACATCCGTGCCGGTCAATTAATACGAAAAAAAAATCCCCTTGTCTCTCTAATTATGTAGCGGTGGAGGCAGTTGACAAGGCACGGAGATAAACAAATAAGTCCGTCGGATCACGGGGCCACGAAAAAACGCGGAGGGAAAAAAGATCATGCAATGTCGATGGTTTTATCAAGATCGCCGCTGCGACTCTGGCCCCGGTGAACAATTTGCCCTTTATAGGGCAGAATAACGTTTGATTCCATATACAGTGGTACAGTTGTGAAAAATGTCTTATTGTTTGCTTCCGGTCTCTTCTTTTTAATCCTTTTCGTTCATGACTGTTTTGATTTCGTATGACCATGTTATATGTAACGATGTGTAATCTTTGTTAAAAGGACATATTTCAAATTGGTATATAAACCGAATGGTATGGTATGGTACCGACTGATACGGTACGAAACCATGGAAATCATTACGTTACTTATATGTAGATGAAAGGCAACAGATGTTCCGTATCAGCATAGAAGCTGAGATACTGTGCTTTTATAATGACACAGAATTTGTTGACGGTATATGAACATGTGTTGATTGTTTCCGGAAGACTAACGGAGTCATCGGTGTTGCCAAATATTTCGTTTTTTTTTTCCTAAAGGCACTCCAAATATTTCAACTTAGCATAACAGTAATTCTCAAATTAACCTGTACAGTAATCGACAGCATACATCAATAGTTAGGACGAACGTACGTTGTTGTAAAGACGCTGAAGCTCCGTTCAGTACATGGCCGTGAAACAAGATGAGCAGTCTGCGAAGGCCTTTTGGCTGGATGCAGAGTTGTTATCCGAGATTTATTACTATTGCAACAACTATTCCTATGTCCAGAATATAGGGAGGTCAATATCGGACACGTCTGGGACCAAATTGGGACCAGCACCCAGCGTCAGCTTCCTGTTCATCTTTAGAGTTAAAAGGAGTGTGATCTCGTTTTTTTTTATGCTGAGGAGAAAACTAGTTCTGCCCTCGGGCCCGTCGCCAGGAATCAGGCAGATGGAGCCAGGAGGCGCCGGAGCATCGGTGTCGGTACGTGAAAGCGATATTGTTTGTAGTGTGGCATCAGCACGCATTAGACGGGACATGACGCGCTTGAGTGTCCACTAACGCCTCACGGTTAGGGTTCCGCGGGAGCGCGACGTGAACCTGATTCGGGACGGTTCCGTGTTTTTTACCTGACCGCGCCAGAAGGAGGGTTATGTTTTTCGAGAGTGTGTTTATATATTTATGTAGTTATAATTGTTTGGCACGCTTTGGAGCCTGAACGGCTTGATGGATTTTAGCTTGGGAGTCGTTAGATTCGTATTTACTGTGAGAGTGACAATATCAAAATAAAAAAATTGCACAGAAACAAGGTCGGGTTTTAGTTTTAAAAAAAATCAAGGGCCTACTATAATATCCAAGAATACATTGAGAGACAAGAATGTTTGGAAATGACTCTTGCTCTGCACTTGCAAGACCCCTGGCTGCTTCTGATTTTATACCTAAATAAGTGTGTATAATTGCATCAAAAAAAATATAACAAAAAGAACAAGACCGCAGAGTTTCTTGCCGGTTCTTCTCTGTGCAGGTCTAGTTTAGTTAACCGGTGGTAGATTTTTTGTTGACGTTCAATGAGAGATTAAGTTAGGCCTGTATTGAATAATTATACTTTGACTTTGACTATAAACTTCTTTGCTGCGTACATTGAAGCACCAAAAAAAGTTCTATAATCAACAGATTTTTGTTCGTGTAAGTATCAATCAGTAATTACTTAAATATCCTTAATTTTATAAAACTTTCGAAATACGTTCCTTGTACATGTAGAGTATGATACTTTATAATGCTCAGATTATACATTTAACTTACTTTTCCATTAAATGTTAATCTTTAAAAGTACAAAGGGTTTACATAGTATTACACAGTATTATCAACCTTTTGCTTACGTATAATTGATATAGATATATTTGTATTTGTACAGAACCGGTCCACGCTTTCGGTGTTGTTTTAATTCTCACGTCAATTTGGGTTACGAACGTAACCCGATCCAACTGTTGAGAGGTTTTTTTGGTGACGTGACGAGGCGCAAGACGCGTGCTGACCGGCTCTTAGGGCGGACAACGAAATGCGGTTTGCGGTACCAAATATACAGGTACTATCGATTTCGTTGATCCGTTACAAGCGGTTATCGCGGTTATGTATGTCTTATGATTATCTGGTCGATGGAAGTCATTGTCATGTGTTTAACTAGCCGGCAGTTCACCTGATGCAAAGTGATAACCGCCACTCATTAATATATCATTGCAACACCCGTAGGGTTGCAGATGCGTTGCCACCTTTAATAAAGTGGCAAACCTATTTTTTAATAAAGTGGGCTCCGGCTATTACACACCAGTCCAAATACAGACAACACAGAAGTAAAGCACTTCCACTTTAAGCCGGTCTTCTGCGAGATCGTGGTACTTACCCAGACCCTAGAATCAATAATGAAACAGTCGATGGAATAATTGAGGCCCTCTACTTTAATGAGCTGATGATCCTGGTGAAACTAGTTCCTTGTCCTCTTGCTCTCGGAAACTCTATGGTTAAATAAGTTGCTGTAGGACGTATTGTTACTGTTAGTTATTATTAGTGTACGTTTAGTTATTATTAGTAGACGTTATTGTTAGTGTAGTCGTTACGCTCTGTCATTCTTCTCGTAATGTGGCCTCTGTATTGCATTCGTAGAGAGGACCATTTAATGCAGGTTTTACTTGATTAGTACGTATGTAGATTATTAGACATTGTTACTCGCACAACCTGATAAAGGTAGTTCTGGGATCTCCTAGGATCATAGAAATTCTAGTACGTGACATAAACATATTAGTCCTATGTCAAGTTGCAATTCGGTCCTCGCTACTCTACTGGAATGCACACAAAAACCGCTCGAAATATTTTCCACTTTGAAATGGTGAGTGCAAATATCTGTTCCGTAGATAAGATAGAGACGCTGCGCCGCGTATTCCCGAGGGATGCGGTTCTGAGACGAACGAAATGTCGAACATTGTGGCAAGGTGATTTCGCAATGTTACGTCTGCGCTCGTACTTCTTCCTAATCATCAATTCTCACCCTTCCACCGTTGTGGTAAGGCACGGTTCGGTTTAAACTATTTTTACCTAATGGCAGATTCGGTTTGGTCTCCTCGTCCATGGGTCTCATTGTGTTGGACACGCGCTACCAGTTGGTGGTCCGAGAGCTAAATGCATGATTCTCGGGACGATTTTTTTTAAAGCCCCCATACAAATACGTCCTACAGCGAACTCTACGTAGAGATTTTTGATTTCAAAAATAAAGTAAAAAATAAGAGACTGACGAAAAAGTTTATATTTAAATTGCTGTTTGTAGGATACCAGTAATAAGAAGCCAGTCAATAAGTAGTAAACTACCGTGCTCGGTAAAATTAACTTTGGTATGGTTTCAGTACGGGAACTCTATCAGTAATATCTTTTTTTTTATATTAACTGTTGGTAAAGACCAGGTATAGTTCACCTATTGTTAAGTGATTATGGAATTCTTCAATATCTGATGAGTTGAAAATGCGTTGATTGACCTTCATTCTTATGCATAATAAATTAACGCTATCGAAATATCTTACACTAACGAATAAATGTTATATTTTAAGTTTTAACGCATCTTTACAAAATCGCGGCGTTTGCAAGCTCTTAATATAACCCGTATAAAACAAAAGTTTTTCATAGTTTTAGCTGGAACAAGAATAGCACTGACAATAACCTTTTATCTTTCCACAGTCACTGCGAATTATGAAATTTTTAAAGCTGTAGAGGAACAAGGCACTTTCGACCAATATCAGAGGATTTTGTAGATCTCTAACAGAATCTCTATAGGTGATAAGTGACCGCGTTAATGAAACGTAGGATGGGCGGATGTAAATGTGCGAAACGTCACCGATAAGCTGTTCCGATAGCTGACAAGGCAGGAAATCGCTTGTGGCGCCCGCTCGCTGTCAAGCGTGCAGCGTGCCTTTGCTCGCGATGTGCGCCTGCGAATATCGACGCTGTTGACCCAGTTAAGATGAAACTTTATGATTTACCGGACGATGGAAGAAACTAGATCGATGGAACGGAATCTGAGTGGTGTGCCACATGAGGGGCGAGAAAATCGATGTACCTACTTGACTAAAAACTATCGCAGAGATAGAATTTGACCGATGACACCGTAGCGTAGTTGCCGAGGCCTTGGCTTCGACGTCGGGGTCATGGGTTCGATTCCCACACGGGACAACTATTTGTTTGACCCATAGATAGTTGTTTCGCATCTGGGTGTTCGTCCACGTGAAATTTATGTTTGTAAAGCAGTGTTTTAAAAACAAGACAAAAAAGAAACAGAATGTGTTATTGAATATCAAGTTGATTCTAATTAGTAACAACCTAACCTCTCTTGTAAGCTCTGGATTTCACTGCTGGTTTCATTAAAAAAAAAATACACGCACCCATAGTACCTAGAAATTTTTACACAACGTCTCTAGTCCCAAACTTAGCAACGCTTGTAATGTGGACACTAGATAGCTGATAAACATACCTAAACATACTTTTCTTTTGTAAATAAATATATATTATACATATATAAACACCCAGACACTAGAAAAACATGTTCATCACACAAAGTTTTTCCAGCAGTGGGGATCGAACCCACGCCCTTTGGCGCAGGAGGCAGGTACACTAACCTAGTGGTTAGTGTACCTGCCTACTGCGCCTGGCGTATTCGCCATTCGGGTCAGATAGGTTCCTTGGATGCAACTGGTTCATGGTAGGTCCACGCAGCGGCTCCTGCTGTTGTTCGGGCAGGCTCGTCCGGGGAAGACCCACGGAGGATATGATACCAGCATATAGTGGAAGTATATTCTTTCGCGTTTCGTTTGGTAGATGCAACCTGGTAAGGTAACCGGGGCTTACTTTTTAAACCGTCGCAAGCTCTCAGGTGTTGTAGACCATGGGCAGCGGTAATACTTCACATCAGGTGAACCGTTTGCTCGCTAGACAACTTATCTCATAAAAAAGTTTCGGAATATCCGATGATACTCATATTTAGCGCCAAGATGGCTCATTATCTGGGCACAGGCTTTTAATTCACTATACTTGAGGAACCTGATTACAATCACCAATTAAATTGTTAATTTTAAGTGCTGCATTATCTTTACTAATATTATAAACGCGAAAGTTTGTATGTATGTATGAATCTTTCACGCAAAAATCTACTGAATAGATTTTAATGGAACTTTACAATAATATAGCTTATACATCAGAATAAGACATAGGCTATAATTTATATTTTTATGTATATCTGTCTTTCTGGCTGAATGTTACGCCCTCAGCCTATTCTACGCGGACGTGGTCGCGGGCAGCAGCTACTCACGAATAATAACAAAGAACAATTTCTAAGGTATGTGAAGTCCACCAATCCGCAGTGGGTGACTTTGCCCTGATACCCTATGTACAGAGGAGGTCTTTGCTCAGCAGTGGGACATATAAAGGCAGTTACCTTACTTATTTGCATTTAGGTACAGTAGACGGTAAAGCCACCTTTGCGGACAAATCTTTCTTTTTTCTTTATTCTTTATTGTACATAGAGTATAAGAGAAATCAAAATTACAAAAACAAATAATGTACAAAGGCGAGCTTAACCCTAAAAAGAGTTTTCTTCCAGCAAACCCTGACATAACATCAGAACATTATACAAATTATGATAGGTAGGTGTCTAAAACCAGATATACTTATACTCTAAACTCTGAATATATTAAGAAAAATAAAAAAAATAAAAAATAAAAATCTTTTAAAATAATGCTAATTGGAGATTACAAGAGAGCACATTATTGATACGTACATATAACAAGACGAAACCAAACATCACAAATCGAAATGAGAGACGCTGGCTGACATTGGCGCGGGACACGTCATCTCGCCACACAAAAAACCACGTGCCTTTCCGAATCAATGAACGATTGAGGAGCTCGTCACTGGCGCTCAAAGTGTCACGCCCAGTTGATTGTCAAGTGTTGCCATGTAGAATATTCAATACGGTAAAATTAATTGCGAGTTAAAATTTTTT